TACAGCACCTCCATTTTCTGATCCGATCAAATACTTCAAATTCAACAAAGAAATAAAACAATACGTTCGTTTGCATGGAGAAAACCTTTTACATTTTTATTGTAGGTAAACCCAAAAGGGCTTATTTATAATATTATATAAATTCACGTATAAATTAAATAATTTAACTTGAATAACAGAAATTAAAAGTTATAAATATCTTGCATGATCAGAGAGATTCGAAACTGAAAACTACCTTTTCACACGAGATTATTATTGCACTTATAATATATAAGTACCACATTAGAGTGTACCTTATTATCTAATTTACATTTGATATCGGTGTAGGGGAGAAGAGAATTATGTTGTTAGCTTTGACGATTTCTTTCTTGTCAATGCTACGTAAAAATCTGAAATATATAAATTCAAAATATTAATTATTTGGTGTAATAAATTGTTTCTGCTAGAAAGGTGGGTATTCGCGTGCTGGTCTTGTATTGGAGACCCCCACCCTCCACCCTAGCTGTAGGGTAAGTAGGATTAGCTTTCTGAAGCACTGTACTGTACTTTTTATAGCTGTCCCCATTAGTTTGTTACTTCAACCCTAGACTGTAAGAGGCAATATGTTATTGGTGTTTTCTGGATTGCTTAAAAATAAAAGAATCGCCATACCTAGGTTTGTACTGTCGTCGTTAAATCCCACCCCTTCGTTTCCTTCGGCGGAGGTATGCGATACTTGTTATTCTTTTTTAAATGAAAGATTTTCATGAACAATTTCATTTACAATAGCAGTATTTTAAAATACATCAGAAAAAGTAATATAATGTTCGGGCAATTGGGTTTACAAATTCGACCCTTGACAAAACTTATATTCCGACTTACCTAATTACATTTCCACGGTTCTGACCGAACTTGCTCGGGATACTGAGACAGAGCTCCTGTTTTTGGCTCTTAATTTGGACACTGTGTTTTCAGCAGTATCAGCTCGCTCTTCGGCATCTTCCAACTCTGTTTGTACCTTACGGAATTTAGCCAAGTTAACTGCGGCAACTTCCTCCTGTAATGGTGATAAATTTATTGATTACTATAGTATCCATAATCGTGTAGTATAGCAATATTTCAATATATGCATGCATTCAGTGATCTATATTAATACCTGTCCCGATATTGCCATCACGTTTTAGAGGCGACAGTTCTGTGTTAATAGACGAAAAGGGCGTAAAATTTCAACTTGTCGCGTTGTTGTTGCCATATGCTTACATTCGTATTTCGTGTAGCATATAGCAGATCATGACTCATGCTGGCATTGCACAATGGTTTCTTTGTGTTGTGTTCCTGATTGTTTTCAAATTTGAGTGAAGTCTTTGTCACTACAGACCCGGGACTGTACATCGCAGTGAACGCTTACGGCTAGTCCCCGGATCCATTCACTTTTTTTTAATTGTCTGTATGTTTGTGTTTTCCTGAGTATGATGTCTTGTCTGTGAATTTGTTTTTGTGTAAATTTTGTGTGGTGCAGTCCCCCTGCACTTACTATTAGTGTTTAACGCCCGCTTCTACCGAGAGTGATATCGCAGACAATTTTACAGCAGAGTAATTGGCCTTTAGTTATAATATAATATGGTATAACACTAAAACACAATCTACTTACAGCTTCTTCTAATTGCCTCTTGAAAACCTTGATTTTGCCGTTCAATTTCTCTACCAATTCGTTAAGACGATCTTGATTCTTCTTTTCTTCTTCAGCCTGGAAGATAACCTCCTTAAGTCGTCGTTCACTCTTTCGGGCATTCTTTTCGGTTTCAACGTGTCGGCGTTGTTCAGCACCCAACTCGTTCTCAAGTTCTTGTACTCTTGATTCGAGTTTGGCGATGAGTTTTCGTCCGCCTTTAAGTACTTGGGATTCAGCTTCCTCTAAACGAACCTGGAGGTCTTTGTTAGTACCCTCAAGACTCTTGCGTAATTTTTCTATTTGTTGGCTGTGTTCTTGTTCTCGTTTAAGGTCGTCAGATAAGCGAATGGCCTCTTCGGATGCCTTCTTAACCTTTTCATCACAATTCTTCACTTCAAGGTGCATCTCATCAAGGTCAGCCTGCATGGCTGTTATATCTCCTTCCAACTTTCTCTTCTGTAATTGCACAGAGCTAGCTTGTGCGGCCAATTCATTGACGCGGTCGTTGGCTTCATTCAATTCACTTTCAGCAGCCTTGCGACCTCGTTCAGCCTAATTAACAGAAAAAAATAGTATTCGCAATTATTCATTAACCTTTAAAGAGCAAGGATTGCGTGTTATATCCATGCTTGCTTGATATATTATAATTCATAAGGATTGAATGTGACTATAATCTACAAAATGATTGATACTGGCAACGAATGTTGTTCTGATTGTATCTTAGTTGTATATCAATTTTAATGAGCTGGCTTTTATTCTAAAACTATTTACCTGTTCAAGGGCGGATCTGAATTCTTCTAGTTCAGTATTGCAAACAGCATATCTTCTTTCTGCAGCATTGTAGTTTTCAGTGGCTTCATTCTTTTGGCGTTGTTCATCTGCTAGCTGTTCTGTTATTTCCTATAAAAGCATGATATTAATAGTTATTAAGACTTTGGCCTGTTATCTATACTGTTTTTGTAGGTGACGATAAAAATAGTGTTTTTTGGGAGTTAAAGAGTCCATGACTAATTACAAATTTATGGATGATAATTAGTGTCGTTATTTATTATGACTGGAGGGTATTTGTGACAGTGAACTTGTTCTCTATCCGTTATGTCGTTCCGCGGCATTGTTGTTAGACGACAGCCGCACGGTTCGAGTAGGCCCACAATTTATTTTTCTTAAGCTATTTACTTACTACAACTTGTTGTTGGTATTTCTTACAGTTCTTCTCAACTTCAGCTCTAGATCTATTAGCGCCATCTAAAGCTACCTCGAGCTCATTGATATCTTGTTCCAACTTCTTCCTCATTCTCATAGCATCATTCTTACCCTTCTGTTCAGCCTCGAGAGATGCCTGCATGGATTCAAGAGCGCGAGCGTGGTTTCGTCTAAAATACAAACCAAGAATCATTATGAATAAAGAAAGTATATGCATATTATTATCAGTTGAAAAATGTTCAACTCATGAGTGGTGACTTTACTATTTTTAATACAATATAAACTAAGATTGTGTTTTGAAATCTGAAAATTTGGTATTAAAGTAAAAACACATAAAAATGATTATTGCAACATCGTATGTTTTGTTCGAAATTAAATACATAGGGATTTATATACCTTGTGTTTTCGAATTCTTCATCTTTTTCTCGGAGACGTTTGTCGATTTCGGCACGTACATTGCCGATTTCGATTTGGGATCGAGCAACCTTAGCTTCTTCTTGTTCAAGCATCTGTTCAGCTTCTTCAAGAGCTGACTGAAGTTCGTCCTTCTCGTTTTGTAATCGTTTTCTTGCTTTCTCAACTTCATAGACACTTCTACCTCCCTCGTTAAGTTGTTCGGTAAGGTCACGGATCTCATCTATTAAACATAAATATATCCATGTGGTATGAACTTACTAAAATTAATTTTGGGTTATATGTAACTACTCATGTATTCGGCAGTTATTAAGATGTATTGTTTAGGTTATATAATAATCACGTATTATAACTGTCGCTTGACTACTTGGTGAAAACTGAAATAATTATCATGTGAGAGAGAGAGAGAGGGAAATGGGGTTTAACGTCCACTCAACACAAACTAGGTCATTTCGGGACTAACATATGGTTTAATTTTATTTACATAATTCGCTTGCGCGTAGGGGTCTTAAGCAGTGGGAGGAAACCGGAGGACCCGGAGAAAACCCACGAGGTTGGACAGACAACCCTACTCCTTGCCACGTACAACCGGGGATTCGAAACCACGCCAGTCGACTCAATGACAGACTTTATGATACAGCGCGCGCACGCTAACCATTCAGCCATCCAACCCCCCTAATTATCATGTCGTTGCATGTATTTTAAGGTTCATTTGAAATATTCACCGTAGACTGACCGAAAGTTCATGTTTAGATTTGTTGTATATACTCAAAATAACATACCAGCGAGATTTTTGTTTTCTCTTCGTAGAGCTTCCATGGCGTCGATGGCCTCTTCCTCTTTAGATTTAGAACGGAAGAGTTCGGCAGAAACGCTACGAACCTCTCTTTGATAATTTTCGATTTCAGAGTTGAGATCATTACATTTAGTTTGCCATTCTTGGATTGTCTTGTCGAATCCTCGTTGCTTCTTCTCCAACATATTGGCGTTGGCGTTGGCCTGAAATCGATAATTATAGTCTATTTTATACAATATAAATTGCATCTATAATCTAGAAGAAGGCTAAACAGAGATCAGGGAATTCAGATAAATATAGGTATGCCTAACGTGGCTGCATAAGCTAAACATTCGGTTTTAATTCTGGTTTGTATAGACCATGAAGTATATAAATAATTGACTATATCCAACCCTAACCCTAACAATTTCACACACGGCAATCAATGTATCAATTTCAATTAATATATATATATATATATATGGAATAAAATTGGTATTTTGACAGAATATAGAATCGATTTTTATATGTTGCAGAAAAGGATATCTTACACGTTCGACGTCGATCATAAGATCTTCGAGTTCTCCCTGAAGTCTAGATTTGGCTTTCTCCAAACTATTTGCCCTTGTGTTGGCGGCTTCAGCAGCTTGTTCAGCTTCGTTGAGCCGAGCTTGAAGTTTTCGCCTGATGAAAAAATGTAAGTAAATAGTATAATATATTTTAAAATGCAAGGTCAAAATAAGTTTATCATCTGATATACCAAAAAGGAATAATCTGGTACACCAAAAAGGTATAAAAACATACCGAGCTAAAAACAAAATCCCCAAAACAAAAGAAACAGTCAAAAAACGCCTAAATATATTAACTAAATATATTACATTGGAGTATGTAAAAATATTGTATTTATCTTGGACCTTGTTATAATTGCATGAATTAGTAATATGAGAAGATGCCCCCTTACTTGGCGTCTTCAAGTTCTTCAGCTCGGGCAGCACCCTCGCCTTCGTATTTAGATCTCCATTGTTGAGCTTCAGCATTAGCTCTGGACAGTTGTCGTTGAACATCGTTTCGGGCTTCTTGTTCTTCTTCAAGTTGTTCGCGGGCACTGTCAACATCTGATTTAAGATTTCGGACTTCTCCCTGAAGTTTCTGTCGGAGCCTGCTTTCTTCTTCAAGACTTCTTTGAACTTCTTCGAGTTTAGAACTGAGATTGGCCTGTTCCTTGAGGGCTTTGCTAAGTTTGTTTTCACTCTCTTCAAGTTCACGGCTAAGTTCAGCATTCTCTGACTGGAATTTGTTCTTACTGGATTGAAGTTCGTTGATTGTTCGGTTGGCTTCATCAATCTTTGCATTGAGTTCTGCCATCTGAGTTTCAACTTGTCTAGACATCTTCTCGGACATACCCTAGAACATACACAATACTCAATAAAGTTGTATAAATTTACTTCTGTATTGGATGTCAAAAATGATGTCGTCCTTATGATTCATATACGATATATTATTACGATACAAAAGTTAAAAAAACTTTGTCACCTATATGAGTTCTTCATATGGCAAGTAATAACAATTATCGTTGTAGGAAATGGTCAAATCTCATGATATAAAAATGCATTTTACGATTCTAAACATTCATGTATGACATAATATAAACTTTTTTAAAGGTAAAATTTCACAATATGATTACATACCTTGTTTTTGCCAGCGTTTTGAAGTTGAGATGCGAGATCTTCAGCCTCAACTTTAGCTTGTTGTTTTTCTTTTTCGAGTCTAAAATTAGAAAATTGCACATTGGTCACATATTTCCAAATTTAAAGTGGTCATAACATACTTGTTTTGTATGGTTACACGTGCGGTGTTCCCATCTACTTTCTTCAAATTCCTTACAAGTATACACCCACGCGCGTGTAAATGGGTGGACCATGGTTGATATATCCCATGACAAGTCAGCAGGGAAGTTCGTGAGTCTAGTACCTTAATCCCTCCACTACCGCACGCGGAAACGGAGGGAATGGAAGGAAAAGGTGGGGGGGGGACAGCCATTTTATTATGAGATAACTTTATGTTATAACTCACTTGTTCTTGATTTTTTGGAGTTGATCGATTTGATCAGACAACTCGTTGTTAGCATCTTGTTGTTTCTTTCTGAGATTAGCAACCTGTTGGTCGTGTTGAAGCTGGCTCTCCTCGAGATCACGTCGAAGTTTCTGTAGTTCTTGTTCACGTTTTTTATTGATTTCAACCTGGGCATGAGTATTGCCACCAGCTTCATCTAGACGTTCACTGATGTCTTCGATTTCACGAGTTAATTCGTTACGCTGTTTCTCAACCTAATAGTATATAATGAAATATATTAAATTATTCTGTTTTTAATGCTAAACACATGACATTACTGAATAACGATTCATGAACATTAACGATTCCCTAAGGGTAATTTACACTGGCAAATATAAAACCATATACAGTATATGTCTTCTACATATTATATGTATTAAGTCAGTTGCAACCATTCTTACCTTGGACCTTGATTGTCTTTCGGCTTCCAATTCTTCTTCAAGCTCCTCAATTCTAGCCTGTGATTGAAAAATGAAATTGGTGAATTTATTAAATTGATACGATAGTTCGTTGTCGGCATCGTTAGTCAGGTCCTCGTCATTAGTTATTCACTAGCAGTACAAACATCCCCGTCCCCTTAATTAAAACGATCAAAGCTCTTAGACTTTACCTGGATGTCTCAATAAAGTTAAACATCTCATCAATCATACCAAAATGTAGTGTGGCCATGCATATCAATTAATCCCGAGATAAGAAAGCAGATGAATACACGTATTGATTAAAATTCTTACTTGGAGTTCTTTGATCTTTCTCTGTAGTTGAGCTACGAGGTTCTGTTCATCCTCCAATCTAGTATTAAGTGAGTTGATTTCAGTATCCTTCCTTCGGCTGCCTTCTTCGAGCTCACGTTTAGCCCTTTCTAAGTCTTCCACTGTTTCCTGTGTCATCTTTAAATCTTGTTCTAACTTCCTCTTGGCTTTTTCTACATCACCACGCACCTTCTTCTCTCTTTCTAAATTATCTTCAAGCTACAACAAATCCATATCAGTACAATATCAGAACAATAATCTACACCAAAACAGTCTATACATTACCAAAACTAAGTTTTACATGACACGGTTTGCCATATAATTTCTATATGGACATAAACCAAAGCCAGTTTATGTTCTTACAATTTAACTCATTCACTGGAAAACTTACCTCATCAAGAGTTTGTTCTAATTTGGTCTTAAGTTTGCTGAGATGATTGACTTTGTCTTCTTCTGCCTGGAGGTCTTCCTGTAATTTTTTGGTGCCTTCATCAGCATTCTTGTTTGCTTTATTTAGTTTGGCGATCATCTCATCTTGTGCAGCCATTTCATCTTGGAGTGTTTTGATCTGGTTATCTTTGGTCTGTTTATCTTGTTCAGCTTTGGCAAGATTACCTTCCATTTCTTCCAAATCTTTTTTCAGATCTGCGTTTTCTTTCTCAAGTTTCTTTTTCCTTTCCTCCAGGTCACCAGCAGCGTCTTCTTCGTCTAATAATCTCTCTTCCATTTCCTTGATTTGGGCTTCATAATCAATCTTTTGGGTAATCAATTTCTCGATTTTCTCCTGACAGTCAGCTACGTTATCTTGTTCAGCTTGGAGTTGGAGGAACATGTCGTTTTTCTGTTGAAGAAGGGTTGTATTCTGTTGTTCGAGCTCTTTTTTGTCTTTCTGGGTGGTCTCGAGCTCAGCTTTGGTTTTTTCGAGCAACTCTTCCTTCTGTTTCATCTCATCTTCAGCACGAGCAATGTTGAGGAGCGGCTTGACTTTTGTGTACATCTTCCACCAGAGCCAGTTACGCATTGACAGCCATTTACGGATGTTCCTCTGAATTACTGAGAGACCGACTCTACAATAAAAAAAAATATAATACTTTATTACCGGGAAAGCTATGGGAAAGTTGCACCGAATTGAATTATACGAATTGATTTTATTTGATGAAAATTTTTTGTTATCGATCCATTAAACGTAATTCAACTTCTGCATTAAGATCGTTATCATTTTAACTTAATTCGGAGTAAGTACAAAAGCAGGGTTAAATTGTGTTACCTTTGATCGCACAGTTTTTTGTAGGCCCTTCGCATGAGATAACCACGAATGAAGGCTTGGAACATAGAAATAATAGAAGTTAATCTCTCGTCACGAAGATCTTCAAGATAACCTAAGACACCAGCTTTGAAGAAAACCTTGGTTGTTCCCAATTTGTATTCAGCTGTGTCCATCTGAAGGGCCAGTAGGATCTTTGTAGCCACGGTCTTTCCATCAACGAAACCATCAGGAATAGCATTAGGAGCCAGGATGGAGTATCTGCGATAAAAACATACAATTAAGTACAGATGATGAAAGGTATATGGACAATTAAGGAATGTTCAATCATGCAGTGGACTATGAGTGAAATGTTCTTCGGACAGCGGCGTTCCGCCTACTCCATTGTATTCCAATGTCAATAATTCTTCTACATTCACGACACCGTGCAAAGGACAATGAGAAACCATGCTGAAAAATCCCAAGAAACTGTCTCGGCGAATACCTTAATCGAAAATCTTGCCTCCTTGATAGGGAGCCAGCGTCTTACTCAATGAGCCACCTTGGCTAAAACACTTGAATACTACTAAAAATGAATTTTACACTTGTCACACGTATTAAAGAAATCTACCTCTGTTTGAATTCACCGTACAAAATTCTGTTAGGGAATCCTTTTCGGCAAATACGGATACCTTCCAGTACACCATTACACTGGAGCTGATGAAGTACCAAATGGGCATCAATCTCACCTGAATCACGATAAACAGTTTTACCATTACAATTTAACATGCTATCAACAAAAAATATACCAATCCCCTATTAAGAATGTGACAGCTGCTGCGGATACTACTGTTAGCTATATTTTCATTAGCATGGGATACTTCATTTATCATTGATGACTATACTAGATGATTCATACTAGAACATACCTAGATCTCATCTAAGAATTTTTGTTCTGTTTTGTACTTACCGGGTTGTTTGTTCTCGTTGGGGATAATACAACGAACGAAGTGAGGATGTGTACTGTACAAGTTCTTCATCAATTTAGTCAAAGATTCCTGAAAAATAAAAGAAATACACACCACGACGTGTGATCATTGTCCTGAAGTGTTTAAGCTTAAATGGATTGTATTAATTAATTTTTAAACCATTAATTTATATACCTTGTTTAATTGGCATTTAGTAATTGAACATATAAACACGGGGTACAATTTTATGGATACACAATTACGACGAGGATACTCTCGTCTTTATCAAGATGCTTGATATTTATAATGTAAAAATAATGCAAGTACCTTGTGTGTAGCAGAAATAGTCTGGAAAGCAGAGCTCTTTTGTTTCTTCTTAGTACCACCAGCTTCGGGCGCTACAAATATCAGTAAGGCATTATTATGAAAGAATAGAAGTAAGTAATTGCATAGAGCATAATGCATAAATTTTACAAGATCATTATATCACTATGTTTATGTTAGATAGCGAGGTAAGCCAGAAACATTCATATATATGTATCAATATGTGTACCCACCTGGCTTACAGAATAATTCTTATACAATAAGGTTTTTTTTAGTGAAAACATTCATATATGCATCAATATGTGTACCCACCTGCCTTAGCGAATAATTGTTGTACAATAAGATCTTTTGAGTGGGAAAGAAGTTCGACAATGGTCTCATTCAAGGGATCCTTGTTTTTCTCCAACCAACCAGTAATACTGTATGGTACAGTACCAGCATAATGATGAAGTTCAAAGTGAGCTTCACCTTTCACTTTCTTACCAACTGGTTTACCAAAGTTAGGTGATTTGCCCAAATGGTTGTTGTACAATTTTTCCTTAAAAGTCAAGTCAGAGGCTTTGGGGAACATGCACTCTTCTTCTAAGATGGACAAGATACCCATTGGCTGAAATAATACACGATTCATAAGTGTTCAAGAATAGATTTTGAGATATACAAATTAGTATATAACATATAAAGACTGTCAAATGTCACTAAAATTATCAGATTTCAGATTCAACTTACCTTTTCAATAAGATCCACACAGGCTTGTAAATCCATACCGAAATCAATGAATGTCCATTCAATGGCTTCTTTCTTGTATTCCTCTTGTTCCAGTACAAACATGTGATGGTTGAAGAACTGTTGTAGACGTTCATTGGTGTAGTTGATACACAACTGTTCAAAGCTGTTGAACTGAATAATAAACCATTGATCAGTAAATTTGAAACATAGCGTACAATTATTTTAATTAAAGGGGTATACTGTATAATATAAAGGGGTCATTTTCTTTACAAAGAATATTCAGTTTTATAAGTGTTCATTAAAAGACTTCGCATTCTTACATCAAAAATCTCGAAACCAGCAATATCCAGTACACCAATAAAGAACTGTCTTTTAGCTTTTGTATCCAGAGTTCTGTTGACACGAACAACCATCCACTTGAACATACGATCGTAGATGGATTTAGATAAGGCACCAACGGAATAGATAACTTGGTCCTTGGTTCTGCCCTGGGAGACGAACTCGTTGCCGACCTTAATCTTGGGTTTCAAAAGACTCTTGACCAAGTCTCCAGAGTTGATACCCAACAAGAAAGCGACCTTCTCGGCCTCTGAAAACAGAAGAAGAAAATACCTTAATATATTATGTAAAAATAAAACCACAAAACCACGATCTAGAGAGATGTACAAATCCCCCATAATATATTTGTGAAATAGTCATGATGCCTGAAAATGCCAAATGCTAAATAACCTACCGGCGGATCCGTCAGCTTCGGCTTGTTCCTCTCTGGGTCTTTGTTTGAATTTCATCTCACCGAAATGAATGATCGCTCCAGTACATGTGTACAAACTGTTCTTCTCTGCTTCGGTGAAGCCCAAAACGTCAAAGGCAACCTTTGAAAATAATATTAAATGTGGTAATGTCTATAAGTTGTATAAAGGCAGTCAATTGTAATCTTTTTATAAAGATATGACGGTAAATGATTTTTGCATTTGATTACTCTTCATGTTATTTGAATTTATACTTACATCAGTATCCTTCATTTCTTGGTTGTCATCGATATTGTCGACTGTAATACAACCCTGGTTAATAAAACTATAGAGAGCTGGGTCTGGGCTACATAATAGCCTCTCTGAAAAACAAATTAAGTCATTGTGAATAGGATACTTTTAATCTTGAATTTTAACATTAGGAGTCAAGCATGTTTTATGATATACTAATTTCCCAGTTGGTTTCATAACTGTTTGTTTTGGGGTATATTTAGTTGTAAACTAGGAAAGATAAGTGGAATTTCAAACCTTATCAATGTAAATTACTAGTAAGATAAAGTCAACAATTATACCACTTTAAAACAAGTAGGTAATGGAATTTACTCATTCTACATCTCTGTTATCAGTACGTTTTCATTTGAAGTTTTCGTAGCGTAATGTTTTATAAGAATACGTACCAACAATACTTGGGATAGAATTAGACAGAAGCTGGTAGAAAATATGGTAGTTTCTTTCAGCAGGTTGCTGGAAAGTTACTCGAGATTTCTCTAACAAATCTGTTAACGAAGTAAATTTGAATCAATGAATATGTAAAAAATTAAAACATACCTAAAACAGTGATTGTATTTAATTGAATATGGTACACTACGTATTGCAAATATAACCCACATTAAGAAATAAATTTCTTTTGATTGCCCCATGTCAACTTTTTGCATATATACCTCCCAGTAAGAAAGTAAATTTCTTTTGATTGCCACATATACCTTCCAGTAAGAAAGTATGTTTCTTTTGATTACCTCCTGTCAGCTTATTGCAAATATATTTTATAGTAAGAAAGTAAATTTCTTTTGATTGTTACGTGTCAACTTATTGAAAATATTATACCCTCCACTATGATTGCCTCGTGTTAGGTTATTGCAAACATAACTTGCAGTAAGAAAGTAAATTTCTTTTGATTGCCACACCTCAAATTATTACAAATCTTTCTTACAATAAGAAAATATATTTCTTTTGATAGCCATATGTTAACTTGTTACAACCCTACCTTACAACCACATGTCAATTTATTGGAAATATACCTTACAATAAGAAAATATATTTCATGTTGATACTTACATTGTTCAATATCAGCTCCGGAGATTTTACCTTGAGTACCAAAATGGATACGGATAAATTTACCCTGTGAAAGATGTAAAATGAACCATATTATACATGTACTTCATATAATGTTATCTTTTGAATCCATATCTTCATAACCAAAAAAATAGATATGGATAAATTTACCTTGTAAAATGAACCATATTATACATTTACTTCATATAATGTTATCTTTTGAATCCATATCTTCATTATTAAAAAATAGATATAAACAATATATTTCTTCCATTACTCTCTTTGAATGTTAACAAATATGATCTGGAAATTCTCTTGAATTGCTGTAGGTATTTGCTATAATAATATAGTTAAATATGAGACTTTAAGAGGGTAAACTTGCTGTTAGAGTCGAGTTACCAGTTAATGATCATTTATTAATTGATAAACACCCTTAATCAAAATTATGTGTTAGATAAAGTAATTCCCGAAATTATGTAATTATATGCGCATGGTGTGTCAAAGCATCATTAACTAGAGTTTTAGTTTCTTGTGGCTCGCGAACATTTTCTGTTAGTTTTATAAAAAATACTTCATCTATAAATGAGGAGGAGAAGAAATCACCACGACAAGAACGGGGCCAGTTAAAGTATAATACCATCTACTCTAATGCTTATAAGAATAAAAAATAATAATTGAATAATTTATGTGTGATAAAAATAAGCACGCTAATGTACGTCAATATCGGCGTAAATGTGGGATTCCTTGCAATGTTCTTTTTAGTAGCTTTTACCCGGATTTTTATACCGTAAACTCATTTTAAATGAGAAACAACAAAAGCGTCAATGCAAGTGCCATTATGCAGAACATATTATAATATTGCAAGCAATATATTGTGTAATATTTAAAATGTATATTAGTAGCCAATGCTCATGAGCATTCGTAGTACTTGACCATGACACATATAACCTTTTAAACAATTTTTCTTTTAAACTTAACAGTTAAAGTAGTTAGGATCAAAGAACTTCAGTTACTGACTATCTCAGTTTTATAACAGAAGCTATTAATTATGTATAACAATATAACATGATTGCGACGTTTGTGCTAGCGTTTACATACAAAACCATACTTACGTATAACAGTTTGTGGCTATGTATGTTATACTTGTGTGTGTGTTCAGTATTATCTAGTTCTTCTTAATATTGAGATTTTAAGAAGAGATGAAAAAAGAAAGATATTGATGTTAGTAAAATGTTGTTAATACTAGGTATTGTAACAACTAGGTATTGTAACAAAATAATAAACGTCATTTGTTTGTTAATATGTGCATATAAATAAAAAGGAAGTATAGGCAAATTTATGTCCGTACTTTAAGTTGTTTTGGGTTTGTTCGGGGGGGGGGGGCGTTTTTTTTTATACATGGTAACATAGAAACAACAGCGTACAAATTATGTTTTTGATTCGAGTGGTTCAAACTCAAGTCTCAAACCCATTAATGCCCAAATAACAAGAATACTTCATCTATGACTCCTGCTCCCTTTATTTATATTCCAAACATTAATGGTTATGAACAATAAAGAAGTTGTAATATTTTAGGGGCTAACGTCCATTTTCCACGGCGTATAAATGTCTATGACCTTGATTAATTGTTTCAGTGACCAAAGCCTTTCAAAAGATGTCATTGTTTTTTTTTTATCACGTTTTTTTATTGTTAAATTGGTCTAGAATCGACCAATCACAATCTGCTCATTACGCACCTTACAGAAAAATATCTTTTGACCAAACGGGAGTAAAAGACCAAAAAATATAACGGAATGAAACGTTGCTATAATTTCAGTTAGATTGGGTGTTAATTAGTAATTAGTAAGAAACAGGACATTCTAATGTAATGACAATTCCAAGCATAATGCATGCGATGCAAGCTATGTTGACAGGCAACGAAACATACGCTCACATCAGCTAAGTCGTTCGATCAGTCCACTAAGGATGTCGGATTGTGAATTTTTTAGGTAAATAAAAGCGGCATTTGTATACTGTATACTCTCATTGGCGCATTGAAAATAATCTATGACTTTCTCAAGGGAAATAACTATATAAGTAATTATCAGAAATAGTTATATTATAGTCTGAAAAATTTCATAATAGAGTGTTCATATAACATAGTGGATGACAGACCGACGTGCCACCGGATAGACAGACAGCCGGGCCAGGAGACGGCACTATACGACCACATTTCAATGTGGGTGTTTAAAAATGTATATCTATATTCATCATCAATTTTTTGTTAACTTTTGTTTCAAGTTAAGAGAGTATTGCTTGGCTCAATACTTACGAATCTTGAAGAGTTGTTATTTCGAATTGTTTTAGCATTACCGTAGGCTTCTAAAACAGGATTAGCTTGTACAATTTGATCTTCAAGACTTCCCTGTGGTTTCAGGAAACACAAACACATTCAATGGGGGAGGGAAAGGTAAAAAGGTAAAAAACAAAGGATATAATATACATATGATTTGCTGAGGAAATGGAAATTGGGAGTTTTATGTTGGTGGTGAAAACACAGCAAAATATACATTGGGTGGTGTCTTGTGGGGTTGAGGTTAGTGGATTTGGTTGAGGTTGATTATGTGGTAAGGTTTCGATTGGAGTGGTTTTGAGGGATACAAGGGAAATCGTGACTAAGGTAACGCATCGAAGGGTTCAGGTGGAAGGGATTATTCACAGCACACCTCCACCAGTCTACTTACGAATCTAGAAGAGTTGTTGTTACGAGTTGTCTTGGCGTTACCGTAAGCCTCAAGTACTGGATTGGCTTGGACGATTTGATCTTCTAATGAACCCTGTATTTTGGGTTTTAGGGAGGCATTGTTTAGATTAAGGTATTATGGTGTTTTGCAAATGAGCAATACCATTTTAAAAGGAGAAGGTAAAGGATAGAATCAAAAAAAAAAAGGTGAAAATAATCGATTATTATAAAGATCTCATCAATAATAAAATATTTCATCGTTGATCTTAAATTTAATAAATTTACTATTTTAAAAAAGACAGACTAAAATCTTGAAACAGTTTTAAATTAAATTCATATAGTAGAAAATGATCTTATCATTTAGACGTATGGTATTTATTTAGTATTAAGACTTGCCTTTTTGGAATCCTTTTCTTCTTCTTTTGCCTCTTTTTGGCTCATGGCAGCAACGTGGGCGAAGTACATGATTACCTTTTTGGTATTTTCAGTCTTACCAGCACCAGATTCACCACTGACGGATAATAAAGACAATCATTCATTTGGTAAGAAATTTGATAAGTGCCAGCTTAATAGTATCGATCGGGAACTGAGTGTGACATCATCGCAGTTATATTTGGAATTGTCATATCAATGTTCGAAGTCAGTCAGTCGATGTGCACTTGTTCAACTTCAACTTCAAGGAATAAGCATGCCAAGTTTCAAGTCGATCGTACATGAATTGGCCTAAGGCTTTTTCCGAAGAGCTTCGCCCCCAAGAACAACAAAATGAGTAGCGGCTTGGGTCCTGTTCCTTTCTATGTTTGGAAATTAATATAATATAATCGATTATAGCAATAGACGAATCACTATGAAATCTATGTAGATGGAATATAAAATATACTTACGTAATAAGTACAGACTGGTTTTCACGATCTGAAAGACATAATAAAGTTAAATTAAACCACTATAGATTAACATCAATACATTTTGATAACGTATTGTTTAAAGGATAAACTCTGCATGGCGGTTTAGATGCAGATGATATTAATGGTGTACCATGTTAAATCACAATGGCAATATTTCAAATTTCTCCATAATTATACGTTCCCTGTTTCCAAATAAATAATTGATGTTCTTTACCTTGCAACATGTTTTGGTAGGCGTTATCGGCAATAGAGAATAAATGGGGAGGCATTTCCATCTTTCGTTTACCTCTATATTTAGAGATAACACTCATAGTGTAAATAGGTAGACGTCGGTAGGGATTGATGGCCACACAGAAAAGACCGGAGTAAGTCTGTAAGATAAGAATAATTTCAAGAATTAAGGACATGTATGGGTAATTAATTTGGAGCATAGATAGCAGATTCGGTTAAATCGGTTGTTAAAAACAAAATTCTATAGGCAAATCGGACAATACGGAGCTCTAGTTCAGTAAGAATATTGACTTTCAAGCTGAAGGGATTTCGCTTACAGACTTTAATTCACGATGTCGATTTTGTAATTTTTCTGGCTTTCTCTTACGTTTACTTACATAAATCATGGAGGCTTCATAACGGGCTTTCAGATTGTAAAGTACAGCGGCTTCATTCAAATAGGTCAAATTGGCCATGTCTTCGATCTTCTCAAACTTGGGAGGGTTCATCTGCATAATGGCATCTTTTTTCACGGTTTTAACCTTAAAGGAAAAGACAGAATACTCAAAACAAACCCATTTCTTCTGTAACAAAATCATACAGTGCCATTTATGTATTTTTAAAACTGTTGAAACATTGTGACAAGTTTCAAATCTAAATAAAAGAATTTATTATTTTTTGTTTTCTACTTGCAGGATAAGAACTTGTTTGATGCAGTTAAAGATAAGGTTATTCGGTGTGGAATTTTTGCACTAGTTATAGACTATAGGGTAAGATTATATAACAATAAAACATCATACATTTCGGTTGGATGTCAACTGAACGGTGATTTCTTCTCCCTTGCTGCTTTGGATTTCGGCGGCTACAAAAGCATCTCTCTCATCTGGGACCCAACATGATTTTTTACCATCAAAAGCTTGGGTCTGTTCCTTCAGCAACTTCTTACGGTCAACCGCAAGGTATTCGAAGTCTGGGTCATTCGGGTCGTACGACATCTTGACAGTCGCAGTGTTAAATCTCTTACAACGAAAAGTGGTGCCGGAAGGCTAAACACTGTACTATCTGGACCCTTTAAGGTTATTTCTCCACACAAGGCCTACCGATGACGTGCAGAACAGCTTTCCAGTCTGTAAGAAAGAAAGTACCGAAATTAAAGTGAGGTTAACTACTTGCTAATTAATCAGTGCCGTTTGATTATACTTAGTTAATGACTGATTCCTGCAGAGGAGATGAGGTCATCAAGACGCCCCCGCTATCTACTTATCCGTCACAATTAGTTCAGCAACCGAAACATGTTGCAGAAGATCCATAAAGATTTAGCAGATGAACAAATCGGTAAACCAAGCTACTAAATACCTGTTTAAATTGGCATCGCATAAGAAAAAAAGCCGACATCCTTCAAAATGATCAAGAGCCAAGCTTTGGCTTCTCGTTTATCAATACATGCGCACTGGAATGTAGTAGCGTGAAATAATGTATCTGCAGCTGCCTAACTCATCGAACAATTTTAACGTAGGTAGAATTCGTCTAAAAATAGATCTGAGTTTAATAACTTGTCGAATTTTGTTTTAAGAAATCTGCACTTGGAATGAAACAACGAGTATCATCTTTCACACCCGTATAATATGATCTACTGTACCGAATATACGCTTATATGTTTCTTCAATTTGAACGATAAGTTTTTAATGCAAATCTAATTTTTCTGATAACGATTTATTTCAGATTATTAAAATTATTTATTTTATTGTCTATTATAGATATATTAAAAAAATAGGCGCTGCTTTCTCTTTCGAGCTGTTATCTAACGACCACGCCCTATTTGAGAATATACTGATATTGAGGTGTAATAACATATCAGATTTTAATAACAATAAAAAAAATATCAGTACGATCCATGTCCCTTTCAGACAATAGAATTTCAGCATAGCGTTTCTGAAAACTACTAGATCCCAAAATTACTACTAACTGCAGAACTAATTAGCATCACACCTGAAGCTCGCGTGCTCTACCGGCATAACTCATCCGTCAAATTTGCAAGAAGAACGATTTTAAAATTTCTAAGAAACGCCTTACAGAATATTGAACTATATTCATGTAACAATAAAACATACACAAACATGATACAAAATTATGTATTCAAAAGATATATACATACTACAACTATAGGAATCTATTAAGAAATTGTCAAAATGACGATGGTACTTACGTTGAAAAAGCCGCTCTGTGTGGCTGGCTTGTATATATCCTGTCTTATAGAGCTGAAGACGACTTCTGCTCCCTTTCGTTATATACTTCAACCTTCAATTGGCTAGGAATTTCAACTGGACCAATCACGAGCAAGGTAACTCAATATGTCGACTTTTCTGTAAAAGGCAAGCACGACACTTGAGGCTTGAAGACATGAAACCCTATATTATAATGATACTTATAAAGATAGGTACTAAGCAGTTTGCTGCGCTAAGACAAAAGTGAAATGCATTTTTGTCCCGTGTATGTGGAACGCGGCCACTGGGGGCGAATGTAGTTTAAATTAGATTATTTTATAGCAATCATAACTGTCAGATTTCACCATGTACACTGAGAAATTATATATGTTATGCCAGTTTTTGTTTTTGATACTGTGTTAATATCAATTGAAATATCATAGGCCTATAACTAAGTTAAAAGCTACCTTGATGACCCCGAGAAGATAGATTAGGTGACGCATGGTGTAAGACGAATTTGGGTTTAAGTTAATGACTTCATTTGCCACCTAAACCCTTACTGGAACTTTGGCCGTGGTGGTCGATTATCGTAGATAATCTTCAGTTCCTGGGTTAGCAGAATTTATAAACATACATATTGTTGTGGAAAAATGATTAACCCCAAAGCATGTCACTTCATTACCCGTCATGCCTATCATAGTACGTGTGTGTATTATGATTTATGACACCCGTAGGTGTTCCTAAGTATCACCTGCGGTTAATAAGATTACGTCATTTAATTACCAGCGGGGTGCAAATAAATGTCGTTCTTGACCAATTAGGATTCGTCTAATGGATTAGGTTACACTTACTGGTGATATGTAGCTCAGTCAAACGAGTCGATTAGTTTGTTCGCAAGAGCATCTGATCGGTTGGTAGGATCTGTGATAGCTTCTGATCGATTAGTTGGATCAGTGATAGAATATAACCGATTTAGTGGGATCTGTGATAGCCCCTGATCGATTAGTTGGATCTGTGATAGCTTCTTGGTCGATTAGTTGGATTTATAATAACATCTGATCGATTAGTTGGATCTATGCTAACATCTAATCGATTAGTTGGATCTTTGATAGCTTCTGCCTTCTGGTCGATTAGTTGGATTTATAATAACATCTGACCGATTAGTTGGATCTATACTAACATCTAATCGATTAGTTGAATCTATAATAACATCTGATCGATTAGCTGAATCTATAATAACATCTGATCGATTAGTTTGATCTGCAATAGTTTAATTGAATCGACCTGTCCTGTCCATAATATCATATTTCAATGTAAAGTACGTTGAATTTCTAATGAACAACAACAACAGCTTTCGGTGGATCAGATGTATCTGTGATAGCTTCTGATCGATTAGATGGATCTGTAATAGCTTCAGGGTGGATTATCGCCGTACCGATATTTCGGCACGCTAATTCCTATGTTAAAACAATTCACACATTAACCTCCAGAATTACAAACTGTTTTTATTGTAAAATTACACGTTCTTGACAATCAAAAACTATGTGGCTTACCACATGATACCACTAGAACAATACGAAGGTTTAAATACCACAATGATCAACTACGAATATGGGTGAAATTCATGAAAACTAATGTTCAAAAAGCGTTGGTGGCTACACTACGTTTGTTCAAAACTGTTCGCCCATTGGGAAAGACCGTTGTAATGTTCTTTACATGATCATACCGCATATAAGGTTCGAGTGAATCGGGGGCTTTAAGTTATAGAGATAAATGTTAAAACTACATGTAGGGAAAATACATTTATAAGTCTATACCTGGCACGACACTGATTTTTCGCGTGCTCTAACATTTATCTATGAAGTTAATAGGAAATGCTGAGAGCTTTTACTTATACTGTAAATAAGAATTCCGGCGTGAATGGCCTTACTTTGCTGGCGTATTAATTAAACGCAGGCATACTAGCCATATGTTATACTAATATGGTCAAACAAATTTAGTCAACAAGGTGGCTTATGGTAAGGTAAATACAGATACCTGCATCCAACCATTTTGAAGATTCTGTGTTACCTAATCCCGCCCCTTTATGTCAAAGAAAACCAAATACTAATTTTAACATTATATTTTCAGACCACAAACAGAAAGCCTACCCAATATTCCAAATCATCGGACTACACATCACAAGGTAAGACAAGTTTTACTTTTAAATACTAAACATTTGTCTAGCTGTATTTCAAAATTCTACATTCGACGGTTGCCATAGCAATTAGTAAACATTTCACCAGTTGTTCAGATGCTTTATGTGAACAAGGAGGCGTTTATGTACAGTTTACTAGCTTACTCCTACACATATATACTAGCAATTATAGGGACATGCCCGCAGAGAGACGTCATTTACCAATAGCTAAGATCATACTTTATTGCATGCTAAAGTTTGTTTAGACACATATAACACATATATCACATTGACGTTGTATTATTGTTGTGATGAAAAGATAACATTATCTATAGGTATTGTTTGTCTTTACAAGTTGTTGTTTTTGTATATTTGATGATACTCATTAGACGTGCTTTCTGGGTGAGGATTCTATACAGTCTATGTTTTTCTGAATATCCTTATCTATTGATTTCTGATTTTGAGACTCTATCATAATAAATAGGCTAAAACTAATTTAACTGTTAGTAGAGATAGATATAATCTATATAGACATTATTTCATGTCGATAAAATTATATTATGAATACAAATTAGCACTGTCTTGGTAATTTGAGTTCAACGTCAAATTGGAAATCCAACAAAGAAAGCTGGATTTTGAATTCTGTTGTATTATTTTGAATGCAAGTACATGTATGTCACTAGAGATAAGTTGTAGTTTGATGTTGTACGAACATTTGATCTTCGTGTATTGTTCACAGTAAAATTTTGAAATTGTTGCATTTGTTTAAAGAGCACATAAAATGCCCCTATTATAAAAGTGGCATGTAATTAAAGTGTGTGACTACTATACGCTTTACACCAGTTTAATTCAGTTTTATTCATAATTGATTGCGACATATTCACTTAAACGTTAACGTTGTCCATTTTTAGATCAGTTTTAGATTCAACAACACTTGCCATAGACGGGGTAGTACCTGCTCTTTCCAGAATGTTGTGCTTTTGTATCATTCATGGATTTTATATTTTTTGATGTAGTCTGATTCAGGAATTCAGGAAAGTTTTGTATTTTGCTCTAATCATTCAAGATAATCCCAGTTTAGCATTAAGATATATTGGGTCTTTGTCATATTTTAGACCTTTCTTATGTTTATACATTATTCGAAAGATGACATATAAGTGTTCATAACTACTTGCTTTAAATCAAATTATAGTTTAAATCGAAAATGGCTATTCATCTGAGAATTGTTGCTGCAGTGGGCGAAGTTCCAACTTTCTATTACAGAGGTGTCAAATAAATCTACAACTATTTATTTTAACATGAGAAATTGTGTATATAGTCGTTCTGAGAACATTCGCTTTTTATTTCGGAAGACAGTTTAACAAGAGTACAACTTTTATAATTTATTTTAAAAATATTTAAGACTTGAACACTTCTTCTGATGAGTGGCTTGTCTAAAAATATTACCCGTAAAACTTATTTTATCAGCTGATAACAAGTTGGAGGTTTGCACTCTATAAAAGTTCACTTTAATTAACATACCAGTATTATATTTAAGGCCATAGACAACACAAATTACTTCTATTTAAAACAAATTCTGTCCCGAAAATTATTCAAATCAACCAATTCTAATTTATGTAATGACCATTTAGAATTAATATTGGTTTCTATTTGATGTCTTAGGTGAATATACCACCTTAGTAATTCTGTTATCTTTCATATACAAGCAAGTCTGTTCTTCATAAACTCTGATGTGCTTAAATACACAATAACGCCAGTCTTTACGTTAAAACGGCTAGGGCACAGTGGACGCTTATGGTTGGTTTGTGACAAACTTTAGTCAGCAGTAACTAATTTGTTTTTCTACAAAATATTTAATTTTTGATTAATCCAATTTGTTGATACAATAATTTCAAAGATTATATAACAAATTGTAGTTTATGCCCCCGTCAGACCGGGGTCGCGTCCTTACTGCGCTGCTGCGACCGTACGGCGACCAGAAAATGCACAAGGTCGCCGACAAACGTGAACACACCGCGCAAAAATGTCCCCAAAAATTAAAAACTTGAAAAAAGGTCGTGTTCTCATAGCTTTCCAGTTCAGATCGCAGAACCTTGGCGTTTGTTTTGAATATGCTCAAAACAAACGCCGTGACTCGGCGATCATTGGCGACCATGGTGACCACAGCACGATAGCTGGCGTTTCCACCACGCTTATGGCGATCTTAACGCGCTCTAAAACCATTTTCCGTCGCCGTAGCAGCGAAGTACGGACGCCGCCCCGGTCTGACGGGGGTATTACTGATTCTACATTTGATTTTAAATCTCTCATTTTATTCCCATTGACTTAGTTTAATTATATAACGTGGGCTTAATGTGATTCAGACCATAAATAACTTTCCTGGTTTATAAAGTTGTGGATTTTCTAGTTTACACTTGGACGTTTAAAGATAACTTACAATATAACAAGGCTGTTTTGTTTAGATTAAGGATTGGTTTTTGTAGATAATGCCACCCAGCTGTTTTAGTATATAAGAGCTTCCACTCTTCGTGTCTTGAATTAGTCTTCAAATGATATAATTCTTTGAAGAATTTTCAGTTCATGAATCTCCAAGAAGCCGCAAGGAAACGTAAAGTATTAACTCTATCACATTTATATGCTATGCCTTTCATTAACCTTGAAGATAATTTCCTCTCCTCTGTGTTATTTTTAAGCCAGGAAAAGGTAATTTACCGCGAAACTTGATATGCAGTTTCTCTTGGCACTATATATCAGTAGTGTAAGCTCTACTTGTCGACATGTCGTAAATCATATACCCCAACGTTCAAGCTTAGTAAGATGAACATGATTTTTAATATGGACAGTTCACCGTAAAAATTATTTGTAGAACATAAATCATTAAAATAATTGTAAACCAATTGTTATACATTTGTATTAAACCGATGGTCTCGGGACTCATGGCGCCCTTAATCGGTCCTGCACTTAATCAAGGTTTTGGCCAAATCAGGTCTGATAAGGACTGTTAATAGCCCGTTCAGACGCTTAAGTTGAACTAGTTTAAAAACCCCGGGGATCGTTAAACCAGTTTAACTTAAGCGTCTGAACGCACATGTGGGGCAAATAAACCAGTTTAAAAACCCCAGCTCGCGACCTGTCTTCGAGAAGGCTTTTTATTTTAAACTGGTTCATCTTAGCCGTCTGAACGGGTTGGCTTAAAAACCCCAGCTCCAGCTTGCTTTGAGCATGCGCAGTACGCAGTAAGTTACATTCCTGTGCCAATGTTATCTTAAGCGTGCGAGAACCGAATAAAGAATATGAAGCTACCCATGCGCAATTAACTCTAACCTCCGACCGAAGAGGTCAGAATAGTTAAACTGTTTTGGCTTATAGTACGTGTGAACGCAACACGATGCTGTCTTAAAAACCCCAGCGATTATGAACTGGTTTAAAAATAAGCGTCTGAACGGGCTATTATAACTCAATATCATCAAAAATCTTCGACATTGAAAACACGTATTATTTGTCAATTTAGATCAACATTGGTCTTATGATCTTACAAAGAAAAGATGGGCTTTTGATATCCAATATTCAAGACAAAATAAACATTTTACCATTGGTACACGAATCGTGTACCATAATGTGTTTCAGCGCCATTTGAAACAAGAGACTAAAAGAACAGGGCTAGACATATTCCACAAGTCATGTCAAATGGTGACGCTATATTCTTATCTGGAGAGCATGCGCAATAAATACCATCGGTGTAGACTGGAATAACTAGACGCTAAAGATTGCCATTCACATGAGACTTATGGCGTATTTCGACGAACATAACTGATTAGAAATTACAGTAAAAACAAACGATTGAATGTAAATCAGTTTATATACATTCATATAACATTATTATATGTGTTGCGACCCATTTTTGTCAATTTCTAGGTCCAAAATATTAACGATTTAGCTCCTTTAAGTAGGATTGTGAGTAGGTCAGTAATCAGACAGGTCCCAGCTGTCTTTATATATATATATATATATATATATATATATATATAGCTATACCGATACGTGGTGGGTATGGTGGGTATCGTTTAAGCGTTAGGATGGGCTCCTCTAGAACATGTTATACCACTTCCCATTTGTGCTGTTCTCATAGCTAACAAACATTTGTTGTAGGGTACTTTTTCTGGTGGTTATCACTAATTATTTGAAATGTTGTTATCTTTGTGTCTGTGTAGAATAAACGAATTATATGACAATATTGTACTGTACATGCTGTGTGCATTCGTGGACTACATTAATAAATCAAGCCACTTTTTCCCGGTAAAAAGAGAGAGAGATGATACTTAAAATTCAGTCGACACAAACTAGGTCATTGCGCGTAGGGGTCTTTAGCAGTGGGAGGAAACCGGAGTACCCTACTCCTTGTCACGTACAACCGGAGAATCGAAACCACTCCAGTTGACTCAATGACATCTAGACCTTTTGATACAGCACGCACGTGCTAACCATTCGGCTATCCAACCCACCTGAGCCGTTTGTACGTGAACGTTAAAACCGCTTATCCGGACATGTAACCCTTTTAAGATTTCGGGTTAATTGTTTTGATGGGATACCTGATAATCTATTGCCGTTCCTTTAGATGTAGATGCAGTGCATGACCCACGTGTTGTACTTGATAAGGAAATTTAAATTTCATCTACACGAATTTTTATAAAATGAAAGTCTGCTTTTATCCAAACACCTTATAATACAGCTTGGGTCTTCATTTCCAGGGAGTATAACGATATCATGGACTTTTGACTATTATGACCAATAATTCTGACGTTCATATGTTATAATTAATTACGCATAGTCATACGCATAATATGGCACGGTTAGTGAACATAATGGCCCACGAGCAGGCATATAAGATAGCTTAACTTTTTATGGTTATCTCTGTGTAGATGAATTTGCTTCAGATTTGCATCCTAATTGCAAAGTTAAGCGAGTTTAACATACCTGATATTGAATATACTTTTGTACACGATAAAAGC